ATCAAACATGAAATTTGGTTGCACAACCTTTCAACCTTGCTGTAGCACTAGCTAATTATTGCATTAAGTGTATCATTGCTGTTTCTGGGACTTGTGATGTAAAACCTTGGAGTTTTCAGCTAAAAACCTTCAGCCCCACCCCCTTGTTAAGCATGCAGAAAGTATGTTTAGCTGATTATCTCTGTAGTTGTTCATTCAAATCTAGTACTTATATTTTTCATAAAAAGTAACTGTGCATACCTACCTGCTGATACCAGACAACAGTCAGAATTGCACTGCTAACATACTTGAAAAATTGATTTTTCCTTATGCAACTTCTGTATAGCTAAATGTCTCATCTTTGGAGTGAATCAAGTAGAAGGACTTTGCTTAATAAACTGCTTCATATTGCATGCCTTTGCTGCATAGTAGTAGCAATTTTTTATTTTGAAAAATATTTTTTGTCAATTTAAATAAAAAAATAACATACAACAATAATACTTCATAGCTTGAAACTTGAATTGGACTATTATCATACAGTGAAACATAAAATTGGAAAGCGTATAAATGACCTTACTTGAATGAACTACTTGATGATGTCAGTACTGAAACATAAATGCTAAGCTTGAGAGAGACAGGACACTAAAGAGATAGAGAAAGGAAAATGGCAAAGAGAGGGAAGTGCACAACAGTGAATTGTAATGGTAAATCAGATTAAAGAGTAATGATTACTGTATTCAAGAGTATATAATGTGAAGCTGTAATGTTATTTAGTGCGTATAAGGGCATTGGCAATTCCTTATTTCATAAGCTATACTTCAATGAATTAGTGAGATACATGTAGGCCTGAGTGTGTGGCATACATTTTTGCTAAATGTAAACATAATTATTACACATGTAGATGTAGAAAGAAGGTAGAGAGGAAGGAACCTATAGTACAGTAATTAGTCCAATTTAGAACAAACTTAACAGATATAGGTATTGCTGTGACCAAGCATAATATCGAAATAGTTTAGCACAGGCGATGAATTTGAATTACAATTAATTTTAACAACTGAAAAGAACCAAAATCAAAAGTGATAATAATGCCCAGTATACACCAAAAATGATTATAATTGTGGTATATACCAGAATATGAGTTATACAGTATTAAATGATGTGTCTGTTATGACAGCAGAAAAATTTTCTGAAAATTGTAGATATCCATCCTCAGAATCGTCATAACTTTGAGGGACTGATAACATCTTGGCGCAGGTATGACAAGAGAAGCGATTATCCTCATTTACTTCTACTCTAATGGACCTATTTATTGGATAAGTGGATCCAGTAGCATGGACTAAAAACATCTTCAATTCTATAATGGATATAAATAAAATCAACAATGTATGGATATGATTTCATAGCTTACCATCTTCCGATAAAGATACAATATATCGTTTCAAATGAGCCAATATTGTTTTATTTACTGGGTCTGGCATGTACACAGCATCTATAACATCTTGTGAAGTCACTGTACCACTGAACACAAAAATACTGAGAAATAAATGAGGAAAAGCACGAATAACATCTGAAAGGCCCAAGTTACTCAATCCTTCACATAACTGATCAAGGGATTTAGAAATCCGTTCAACAGCTTCATAAGTAATGATACACTGTGCAATAACATCTTTATTTGACATCTGAAATAAAAATAATACATTATATAAAACACATAAATGCGTTTTAAGTTACAATGTGTGTAAATACATGTGTGTCAAATAATTATGTACACTATACAAATATTTACTGTATTTTACACTACAAACAATTTTTTAAAACTTGAATAAGCAGTCACTGCATAAATAGGCTGTGGTAGTTATAGTACATGGTCTTTGGCCAATGAATTCTCCATTTTACTACATGCATGTCCTTGTGAAGCATATAGATTTTGAGTAAATTCCAATGAAACTAATTTTTTTACAAGTTGATCAAAAATTATATAAAATTTCCTGTGCTAGAGGCAATGTTTTTGGCCAATTTTCATTAAAAAAATTGCCAAGAGAATTCTTCATTTTATTACTTTTTATGACCAATATACATGTACTTATGCTGTGTACATAATTTGAGCTCATTCAAATATTTTTACCTTCAATACTTGAGTAATACTACATCGCTGGAAAACATCTTGCACTACCTCGTTGCTCATCAAATTGCTTAAATCTTCATTACAAACACATTGATTCATCTATCAAAAAATAATAAATATAAAGAAGACATAATTAATGTTACCAAAGTTATGACTTGAGCTGCATCAGCTGGTATATCATCAACAGAACTGTATTCTAATGCCTTTTCCTCTCCTCCAACTATGTACCAATAGCAAAGGGGTGATAAGTATGGAAAGCCCAAACCATCTTGACAAAAACTGTGTGAAATCATTGATCCCAATACTTTCAGCAAACCAGATAGTTTAGCTTCAGCTGAGCAGGAGGGTCTTAGATAATTTAAAGGCCCATCAAAGAGATGGATATATTTATTTGAAGCAAATGACTCGAAGACACTTGTGTAAATTTGCCTACGCACACCTCCTGTATCTATGGCAGGCTGGTTAACTATTGATATTCTGAGCTTGAAAAAACTATTCGCTTGCCCTTTGTACTCTGCTACCATATCTTCCCAATAACTTTCTGAATCTACAAACAGTTTCTTGGTTGGCAAGCCTGAAAAATACTGCTTGCACATATTGATAATTGAAGACAAAAGAGGACCTTCCAATAAGCAAGATGAAGCTGATATGCGATTACAGCCTGAAAACTGGTAAATGACAGCCACTTGCTGCTCAGTGAGTACTCCATCAAACATTGCTACAAGATCAGCCACGGTCGAGTTTGATCCACTGCTACTTGTACCTAGCTCGCAACTGACGGAAGATTCAATTGTGTAAGGTTGAGGGCTAGATGTATCAGTGGCATCAAATGCTGGATGATCTGTTGATGGTGTTTGTGGTGCTGAGGCAGGTGTACTACCAATTATGATAATGTCATGATCATTACTTCTAAAAATAAAATAAAATATAAGATTAGAATAATAAAATCAAACCTTTGACTTGGTGATGAATGTGTACTAAAAAAACTTTCAGGAAGTCTAGGTAAATCATCTGAATCACTATCTATCATTTCATGGGCCTCCTCATTTACCATTTCATCTTTCTCCGCCTAAATTTAAATCAAATTACTAAATTTGCACTATAGCTACTGACTTACAAATCTGGTCCAACCAGGAAGGTGCTCAGCTGCCAACAAATAAATGAAAGAACCAGATTTTGCCAATGACGCCACTTGCTTTCCATTCCATTGAAATGTGTCTTTCACAGTAGGTTTACATAATGATCTTGTGTTGCACCCAGCTCGTTGTAAATAATGAAACTTAAAACGGATGCCGTCTTTAATATTATCAGTAGTTAGGCCCATCGGTACAGCAAATAGCTCACATATTTCTGTTCTTACTTCATCTTCTGTCTTATCTGAACTAAGTTCAATTTTACCAACAAGACCAGCTTTTCCAAGCATTTCTCTATTGTTTGATCGTGGGATACAAACACTACCAGTTTCATTCTCAAACTCATCAGGTAACAGTATGATATCTCGAACATAGTTAGTTACTTTGGGAGTGGACCTAGCGGTTTCCTTTCTTTTCCTTGATTGATAAGGGTGAACCTGGCGGGAATTAAACAATGATGGGGGAGATAGTTTTGGTCTCTTCGCAGCTCTTTGGAATTCTGTGACTGGTCTAGTAGCTTCTTGACTTGTTGATGGTTCCATTCCTGACCTTAAAGACTGCCTCACAACATTAACGAGAGCACCTGCAAGTGCATCAACAGCTGTAACTTGGTTATCTTGACTAGTAGCGCTCCTGCCGCGTCCCTCACGGGTCCCATGCCCTTCCATAGTCAGGTTACACCGCTATCAGAGATACTACAGCCAAACATAAAGCCAAAACACCGGCCCCAAATTTGAAAATGACCGATGTTAGTTTTGTAGGCTTTGGATGACAGTAAGTGACAAATGAGGTGAAAGCAAGTTAGCACGAGAAGTCGAGAATCAACACATGTGGATGTGCAATTACCGTAAATCTTCTAAAAATTCAACACTCTAACTTCGTCAAATTAAATAATTTTTACCAAATTTTCATTACTGATTTTAAGGTGAATTTAATTTGCCGAATTTTTAGAAGATTTACGGTATAGCCACTACCACCAGTTCCACCCACCAAACATGGCGGCGACTACAGGGCCTGATAGCTTCGTTGATAGCCCAGCTGATAGCGGCACTGATTCGAGTGATGCTGACTCTAATGTCGCAGTTTTGAAGGGGAGACCAAGAGTAGCAATTGATAAAGAACGATTGCAGTATTTGAGATCACTGAAATTTACTTGGGAAGAAATAGGAAACTTAATGGGAGCATCTTCCAAAACTGTGCAAAGGAGAGCAAAGGAATGGAATATGAAAACTTTTTCTGTAATATCAGATGATGAGTTAGATGAAATAATTAGTCAGTTTCCACACTATGGGGAGGTGATGTTAAGAGGCCACCTACATTCCCAAAAGGTCAGTATATGATATACACTGTATACACTGTATCAGTTCATCTTTAATTACAGCTATTTTAGTGTGGTAACTGGCTTCAAGTGGCTTGTGTCAGTAACTTTTAGTCATTTAATTAATTGACGACACCCCCAATTGTTATGAATAATTAATGAGCCTGGGTAAATTCAAAATTCTGCAGCTGCCTATGTATACAAGTGCCGTGTAGTATCAGTAGCTGAATATGAGCTTATGCCAATGATTTAACTTCACACCAATACAATGATGATCATTCTACACTAATTTCTTATAATAGGTTTTTATTCAAAGGAGTCGTATGAGAGAATCAATCAATCGGGTGAGAGGACATCAGGCTATTGCTCAACCTATTCGACGCCGTTCCTATTGTGTTGCAGGACCCAATTCTCTATGGCATCTTGATGGTAATCATAAATTGATTAAATGGAGGTTGGTTGTTCATGGTGCCATAGATGGGTTTACAAGGCTAATTACATTCTTGAAGTGTTCTGATAATAATAGATCTAGTACGGTTCTTGAATCCTTTATTAAAGCATCATCAGAGTATGGCATCCCCTCACGAGTTCGTACCGATCATGGAGGAGAAAATATTCGTGTTTGGGAATACATGGAAGAGACTAGAGGTCCAAATCGAGGATCATATATTGCCGGGTCTAGTGTTCACAATTGCCGAATTGAGAGACTCTGGAGAGATGTTTATGCAGCTGTTTTATCGATCTATCATATGATTTTTCAAGACTTGGAACAAATGGGTGCTCTAAACTGTGAAAATATTGCTGACATTTTTGCGTTGCATTTTATTTTTGTACCAAGGATTAATCATTCTCTTAAATTGTTTCAGAATTCATGGAATTCACACCCATTGTCAACAGAGAACAATAAATCACCCCTTCAACTGTATCACCGGCATTCAATGGAAACATTGTTTGATGAAACAGTCAATCCTTTGATTTATGGTCGCAATAGTGAATCTAGTGAAGATGAAATGGCAGATGGCATAGATGATACTGCAGAGACTATGACCATTCCAGATACACATATACCACTTAGTGAAGGTAGTCTGAGGCAACTCCATGCTGCTATAAATCCACTTGCCAGTTGTGATGACAATGGGAAGCAACTCTACATTAGTGCAATAGGGCTTATATTTGTATTAATGCAAAATGATGGCTTATTGTGATTATTGTGTTTTCATTGTGAATGAGGATATAGAAAAGTAAATTGTAACTGAAGAAACTTAATTCAAGAACTTGTTCAATATTTTTATTTCACATATGCATTCATTATATACCCATTACTTCATGATAGTGTAATAATACTTGAGCCCAGTGTTGATTCAGTTGAGCCCAGTGTTGATTCAGTGTCATCCTCATTTATGACTTTGTAATTTTCACACAAAACAGCAACAACAGAATTCAAAAAAATATTTAATTAAGGGCATGTCATAAATACATAATCAGGATAACATCACTGCGGAGTGATACAACTATTGAGCAGTTTCGATATCATAATTTCTTCGTTATTAATTTAGTCTTTTCCTCTTTTTTCATCCTGTAAAGCTATATAAATATAAATAGGAGAAATAGTATGTACACATACCACCAATACAGTCGCTAACTCACTCCACAAAATAAAATGAGATGTCTCACACACTTAAGGTACATATATAAGGGTTAGTATTTTGTATAATTAAACAAAAAAAGCTACCTGTTACAGCCTTACAGGTCTTTAAAGTGGATAAACTTGCAATTGTATATTTGTTTCAATTTTCAACTTGCTTATGAACTTTGCCGACGCCATCTTGTCCACAGAACACGCCTACTTGAGGAGGGGAGAAGACCACATGACTCTTGCTGAACTCCTATTTGTAAATTGGAACTGATACTTATAAATAGCAGCTACTATTTATAAATAGCAGCTCCCATTTGTAAAAGCAGCCTCCTCTTGTAAATAGCAGCTTCTATATGTAAATAACAGCTCCTATTTGTAAATAGCAGCTCCTATTTAAAATAGCAGCTTCCATTTGTAAATAGCAGCTCCTTTTTGTAAATAGCAGCTTCTATTTATAAATGGCAGCTTCTATTTGCATGTAGTAGCTTCTATTTATAAATAGGAGCTATTATTCCAAAAAAATATTTCTCTTTTTAATAGACGGCTTATTGACTCGTTTGGCACCCCATAGCTAAGGGTGTCACAAAGAAAAAATACCCGGCAGAGAAAGTACAATTCTGTTTATTTTATTACTATTTACTACATGACATTATATTGGGAGGGATGATTTTTCATAAAAAGGAAGGAAAGGGTGCACATTGTAAATTGTTGCCTGAACCCAACCCTGTAACAATTGATTTTGAGAAGGATAGTACATCAGGTAATGTCTGTCAAAAGCTTTTGAGCTATTTTACAAAGAATATAGAACTATTTCTCCCAAAGATGTGAAATTTGCCAACTCTTCTGGAAAATCAAAAAAATGTGATTATTCTCAGAAAATATCACAATTTTATGCATGTAATGGGTATAGTCAGTTGAAGTTGAATTGCCACAGGAAGTAAATCAATTTTTGCACAATCTAAACGTCACTACAAGCTACACCTAAAAATAGTGTTACAGTGCAAGCAAGCTCTTTTATTGAAGGTTTCTCTACCTCTAGACACTTTGTCCTCTGTTTTTTTTTTGCTTGGGATACTATTACCTTTATAAACCACTGGCTGGACCTTCTTTCTGTTATGAAGTTTATAAAGACCTTGGATACTGGAGATAGGAACTTGGGTTATGGGTGATGAAGAATAACTAGAACCAAGAAGGCTGTACACAGATAATGCAGTAAGTTTCCAGTGTCAAGGTCTGCACAATCAATAGCAGTTTCTCTAGAATACCTCTGTTTGCTTATAAGTTATAAATAAAAAATTATTAATAAGGCAATGAAAATGAATTCATGAGTGTGATGTAGTGTTCACGTAATAATTCCTCATGGCAGCTCCCATTGAACTATAGTGGCAGAACCCAATTAGAACCTTTCAGATTACAAAGAGACTCAAAAATTGGTACAGATTTTTAGGAGAGCAACTATACCAAGTTTCATGTAGCTGGCATTTGTAATGAAAAGTCATAAGGGGTGGCACCTGGGCAACTCATGATTATATCTACCTAGCAGGTATAAACTAGACACAGTTACTGACTTCAGTGCTTATGTATCTGGATTTCATTAGCGGTTTCGTTACCTTATCATTAATTCTACTCTAGGAAGCAACAGTTGTATCTGAAGAGGCGGAGTCTAAAAAGCTACCACTTCTTGGTATGCATGGCATTGATTTTTTTTGCTCTTTCATAATGTGTTTATAGTTGAAACAAATCATATACCATCTACTTGTCAGGAATGTGAACGGGATTTCTGGACAATTGTTCTTGATACCTCTTGTAATCTTCCTTCAGATGCAGCTGGGTAACATACAGTGACTTGCTTTTGCCCTGTAAGACCCTCATGGATTTGGTGCTTTTGTGAATGGAGATCTCTTTCCAGAACTCAAGTCCGATCTATCAGTGTTTATGCAAATACTATTAGCTTAAAGTGTAACTGACATGATTTTTTGGGGTATTTTTTTTATTGACCTAACATGATCATATGATCATAAAAATGCTATATGGAAAGTTTCATTGTCTGGAAAAAATTATTCACAGAGATATGAGCCTTCAAAGTTGCTCATTTTGCTTCCTGCCATTTTACATCCTGTCAGGGGGTGTGGCTAAATGTGATGTCATGCAAGGCTTTTGGTTGACTTTTACCACTGACTGCAATATAATTTTAGTAGATGATATCTCTGTTAGATTTCATTTCATACCTTGTAGCTTTAATCCTGTGGTAAAAGTGATAGCTTGTGCTTATAATTCATGATAGTCAGAGGACATCTGAGCCATTATGGCTGGTATAGCTTGCAGCTCATAGCCTACTTTTGACAATCCATAATGAAGCTGTTCTTGTATAATTTGTAAATTTAATAGTTCGTTCTTGTGTTCTAAGACTGGGAAACAAAATTAGTACATGAAATTTGACGAACTACTCAAGCACAGCTTCATTATGGATTGTCAAAAGTAGGCTATGAGCTGCAAGCTATACTAGCCATAATGGCTCAGATGTCCTCTGACTATTATGAATTATGAGCACAAACTATCACTTTTACCACAGGATTAAAGCTACAAGGTATAAAATGAAATCAAACAGAGATATCATCTACTAAAATTACATTGCAGTCAATGGTAAAAGTCAACCATAAGCCTTGTATGACATCACGTTTAGCCACACCCCCTGACAGGATGTAAAATGGCAGGAAGCAAAATGAGCAACTTTGAAGGCTCATATCTCTGTGAATAATTTTTTCCAGACAACGAAACTTTCCATATAGCATTTTTATGATCATATAATCATGTTAGGTCAATAAAAAATACCCCAAAAAATCATGTCAGTTACACTATAGGCTACTCATTAATTATCATTAGTTTTGAGGCTAGTCATTAATTGTTCTTGGACTTGTCATTTATTATTTACATTTGTGCTTGTAATTAAAATGGCACATTCATTCATTTTTTATATCAGAGTTTCAAGAGTTACTAATGATGTAAGAAGTTCTGAAGTTTTGAAGATTGCAAGGACCAGAGGGGTTATTCTGCACAGCTAAAGCATCAGCAAGATTTTTTAAATGTTGCCTTACAATTATGGATTTATTGGTGAATTGGGCCGCAAATATCTCGATCCAATGATGCAAAATCATGCATGTACTGCCCTGAATTGCTAAACGAAACACATGTTGCATGGTGAAAGGAACATGTTACCTAGTGTATAATGGGTTTTCACAAGTTGAACTATACTTTTTAACATATTTTTGAGGAACAGAATGGCTTTTTTTTCTGAGCAACATCCAACAAGTTGCTTATTCTCATCAAAGGTTGTCAAGGAGGTAGATTGTTATGCAAAAAAGGCTGCCGCGAACTGTGCTCAGCCTGCTATTAATTCAAGTGCTAATTTGTCTGTAGAAGGTGTCAATTGGTCTATGGAGCTTGTATCTCAAATTATATTATGAATGCATTAATTCCCTAGTTTGGAAAATGCAATATCTGTTATCAATATCAATTTCTTCATATACATTATTATAGCATAGCTTATTTAGAAGTGTCATTTAAAAATGAGGCGATGAAACATGCAACTGATGCAAGTGACAAGGAACAAATGAATCTGTTACAATCGGTGTATTAATATATTTTCATCCTTTGCTGCAAGTCAAATATTTATTAATAATAACTTATCATGTAACAGACGTGATGATAAAAATCAATAAGAGATCATACCAAGTATTAAATGAATTTTGTAGATTGAATGGACAGAAATAAAACTAATCTTCATAAAGTGACATGAATTCCAAAGTTTAAAAGAACTCTTGCGGATTTTTTGCACAAATTTAACAGGTAGGAATATTACACAGTCGCTGACTTGTTTCCTGATTTTGTAGCAGATTGAGATCATACACAGATAATGGAAAGTTGGCATATGCTTTGTTAGAATTAATGCAATATTCACATGATTCGAAATTGGTAACTGTGGTAGTTATGATAATAATTATATAAAAAAGTTTCAGGGGACTGACTTTTGCATAATGTATTATATCTTTAGCTTGATAATTGCTGTAACAAAAATAAAAAAATACATTTTTGCGTTATGCAGTCTTTTAGTTTTGAAAGGAACTTATCAGAAGGCAACACAACACATGTTTAATAGTATTACTATGCTCATTATAAATTAAAATAAAATTAATAAGTTCTTATCAATTACCTACCTGTTGGCCATATCCATGATTATGACCTTTCTTCTGAACTATTAAGATATTTGTCCATACTTGGAGCTGAAACAATCTGAGGTTAAAATGTATTACATGATGGTGCCTTTATTTGAAATTAATACGAGTTTACTTAAGGCAGTATCAGCAATCTTCACATCTCAGCCAAATACAATGCTTCACAACTTGTTTATGATGTTTAAAATTGGCTTGCTCAATAAATTGCACATTGGCATTGATATATATATACTGTAGTGAAGAATATTGGTTCATGGTTAATGTTGTTAATAAAGTATAAACATAATAGTCATTACATTATAACTGATGCACACATGCGCAGTAGAGCTATAATATAAATTAATATTTTTCTCTCTCTCTCTCTCTCTCTCGTGTTTTTTGTCTTTGTTGTTCTTCTCCATTTATCACTCTCTTTTGTTATCTTTGGCGATCTTGATAATTGATGATAATAAATTGTTGGTA